ACTAAATACTAGTTACAGTTACAAAGAATATGACTGCTGAAGTTAAAAATTCAGATTATTAGCTTTAAAAAGAGAGTTGTGAATTTACTCTAAAGGGTTCAAAAGCAGTACTTCATTTAATTTGTGTGTACTTTTTAAGGCGTTTTATGGTATTTTATGCCCGAAGGTCAACAGATTATCGTAATAAGGATAGAAATTCAAACTTTTGTGTGTGAGTGTGTAGACTCTCACCTTGTCTGCTGTAATTATCCTGCTCCCGATGAACCATGTCCTTGTGCCCTTTAGTCGTGCCATAAAGCAACCTGTCAAAAAGTCAAATGTTTTCTGGGTTACCTCAGGGGTTTAAAAAGGAAACTATATCTGTTTTTATACAGTGTCTTGATTWGATTCTATAAAAAACTTCCTGACTTGTTTCTGTCAAACAGTGTAGTACAAAGCCTCATTTCCTTGTCATTTATAGGCTCTTCTGGTCCTTGAGGGCCACTGTTCTGCATGTTTTACTTTTCTCCCTGCTCCAACACACCCGATTCAGTAACTTAATTACCTTTTCAAGTTCTCAGAAGCCTGTTAATCACCCATTTATACAAATCAGGTTGGCATAACGTTGACATCTCATTTTTTAAATAAAGCCAAAGAAAGAGGGTTCTTCGTTTTCTTCACCCTTGATCTTCTGTTTTCATCCTGGTATCTGTTCCTTCTGTTTCCTATGTTGTCTTTTCTTACTCCAATGTTTAAAGCATTGCTTTTGCCTAGATTTGTTTATCTTTTTAAAGTTCAGCAGTATAATAGGTTATAGAAACTACTGTAATTTATACATAAACATCATGTTTTGTTCTTACTGACTCTATTAGCCAGAAGTTTCAAACCCTTCAGAAGTCATCACCTTTACCTTTGTGAGTGGACTTTCAGACAAGTTGTTGACCTTGGCTGATTCTCAGCTGACACAGGTTTATCCATCCTTCTATGGACCAGGTCAGGGACAAATTACCTGCCTGGAACAGTTTTCAGGGAAAGCCTACCTCAATATATCTGTACCACAGTAAGGCACAAGTTTAGAGTTGTGATTTGATGGTTAGTAGAGAGTCAATGTTTACAGATGTTTGGGGGAACAGCATTCYGGTGTTGGGGAGCAGAGTGATAGAAGACTCTGTTTATCATGGTGCTGAGGCAAACAAGGAGCACCGTGAGGTGAATGGAAGAGGAAGAATGGAGGGATCGTGAATTGGTGGGGATGTGCAGGAGATCAGAAAGATGAGGGGTGAGGTTGTGGTTGGCCTTGAATGTGTACAGCAGGATTTTAAACTGAATTCTGAATGTGACTGGAAGCTAGTGGAGTTGCTGAAGGACTGGGGTGATGTGATGAAATAAGGGAGTTTTGGTGATGATGCAGGCAGCTGAATTTTGAAACATTTGAAGTTTTGAGTGATTTGTGAGGCTGACTAAAGAGGAGAGCATTGCAATAATCAATTAGAGAAGTGACCAGACTATGAACTTGGATATAGAATTTAGAGTGCGGGGAGAAGGATGGATAACATTTCAAAGGTGGAAATATGCAGACCAGGTCATGGTATTGATGTGAGTGTGAAAAGAGAGAGTGATGTCAAGAATGACACCTGAGGGAAGGGAGGAACCAAAGAGCTGTCAATGTTGAGGGAAAAATTGTTGATTTTGGATAGGGTGGAGATGAGTAGATACTCTGCTTTATCACTGTTTAATTTAAGAAAGTTTGATGTGAACCAGGATTTTATTTCATCTAAACAGGAAGTGAGGAAGAAAGGTGGAAGTGAAGAATTAGATGCAGTGGATAAGAAAAGCTGGGTATTGTCACCAAAGCAATGGAAGTAGATGTTTTACTATTTATTTATTTTTTATTTAGAAGATTTATTAATTTCATTAAAAACAAAATAAATTCTATACACAATAGAAGATAAAAAATACAAATCACAAATAAAATGAAAGGCAGCAGAAAGAAGAAAAAATGTTAAAATCACAGACAATATTGCCAAGGGGAAGACGGTAGATGATGAAAATAAGGGACCCCAGGACAGAGCCCTGGGGCACATTTGAAGTAATAGGTTTTGGACCAGTTGGAATTTATGGATGGGTATTGCAGGTAAACCAAAAAGAAGGGAGTTGCAATAATATATACTGTACATGATGTGACCAAAGAGTTAACCAGAATATAAGTTCTTCTGGGTGAGAGGGATGGATAGAGAAGAGCGATGTTACAGAGGTGAAAGTAGGCTGAACAAGTTATGTTACTGAGAAGAGATTTAAATTATAATGTATTGTGAAGGATGACAACCAGACTCCTAACCTGAGGGACGGGGGAAACTGAGGTGCTGTCAATAAAAAAGAGAAAAGTTGTTGGATTTTTCAAGGGTTGATTTAGTCCCAATGAGAAGAAATTCTGTTTCGTTGCTGTTTAGTTTGAGGAAGTTGCTTGTGAACCAGGAGATGATATCATATAGGCACCCAGACAGTGAGGTGGTTGAGAGGGTGCCGGTAGGATTGGTGGACAGATAGAGTTGGTGTCATCCGTGTAACAGTGGAATTGGATATTATGTTTTCGAAAGCTATTTCCATGTGGAAAGAGGTAAATGATTAAAAGGAGAGGGTCGAAGACAGAACCTTGCGGCACACCAGAACAGAGAGGGGATGAATTAGCCTGGCTCTTGCCTTCCTACGCAGCTCTGCTCAATTCTAGTTTCCCTTCACTGCTCCGTCTGGGGCTTCTCCCATTGAGATGGATTTCGCTGGCAGATTTTTAGCCGGGCCAATCAGAGAAGAGAACGTCAATTTTCTGCGCAGTGTC